TAGAAAACTACCGATCAGAGCAATCGACTGCTTATTTCTTCTCCAGACAGCGGCGGAATTTTACATATCTATATAGCTTTTTGCCTATTTAATCATAGTGGGACTTCAAGGTCACTAGCAGGAAGAAGAGAGAGAAATTGTCATCTAATCAGGAACTCCAATATCAAAAATTGAAGTCATAACGAAGCTTCCGTTTGAGTGTTAGTGTCCCCCTCTTCATCCAGCTCGTTACCTTGAAGTGCCACTGCATTTAAACTGGAGTATAGTGTGGGGAATCCGACATGGACGGGACTCAAATCCTAGGATTTGAGCGCAGACGATGCAGATGTAACGAATGCGGCCACTGAGCCACATCAGACGGTTTTCTATATTTGACCGACACCAAACATACGAAAGAGATTTGGATGCATTTAAGATATAATAATGGGCCTGGTGAGCCGCAGCTTTGCGTCCTATTAGTGATATTGCTAAACATTCACTCAGAGTTTATTTAAGTGCATGACATCATTTATAGATCCACTACTGAATGAAGAGACATAAAAAACATCCAAGCTGCAAGAATTAATACGGTTGGAAAATGGCTTTGAAAGCTGGGTCATATATTAAAATTTCGAGCAGCATCGATGCTCGAAATTGGGTGTGTATGGGATGGGGCTGTAGAAAAGTAGAAAAGATACACATTCACTAAATGAAAAATAGAAATAGAAACCCCCCAAAATATTGCTTCATGTCGTTCAGTATGAAGTCTTGAAGAAAAATGAAATGAGGGAGGTTTACAAATGCTGGAACAATAAAATCACTATTCATCATGTCCACAGAATTCTACATGTTTCTGAAATTGTAACAGACATGTTTCATATTTACCTAGGTCTATGCTAAATATTGAAAGAAACATCGGCAAAGACATAAAAACGTAATGCACCACATACAATTATATCACTTTTATTTTGGGGTGAAAGCACACATATGTCAGTCGATTGCTGGACTTTCACGTTTATAGGCATTCACAAATCTTTGAACTTAAAAACGATCTTCAAAATAAAGAAAACTCGATATATTGCTTTGCAAACATTAACCACACACTCACATGACATCTCGAAGAGGAAATATCAAATGCTTTCAATGGATCGATTACAACTAAAAATAAAAACACAAGAAAATGAAGACGGTAGATATGCATTCATTCCATTAATTTTAGGATTTTATTAAATTTTAGTGTTTCTGCTATAGCTTTTCTCAGAATAAATGTTTCATATTTCACATATTTCTAGGGCATGTAGGGGGTCGAAAATGGTAACTTTTACCCCCCATCAACGGGTAGTGAGAAATTGCATATCTAGTTCTATGCATTTCTACACACGTCCTTTGCCCCTAATTTTAGGCAACCCTGTATTCACAGGTGTTCGGCAAATCACTTTCTGACAGATATATGAAATCTGATTGTTCAAAAAACCCTTTAGCACAAATTTTACGAAAATACGAGATCGTATTACGGAGGTAATTACAATACCTCTCCTTCCTATACTGAAGTATTGGGATCAATGATATACAGCAAAATTAGGGAAATTTGGCATTCTGCAGCTCATTCAAAAAATTGGTTTACATTTCAATCCCAATAAGAAGAAACATTATCCAGTAACTAAAAAAGGTTTTTTTTTTTTTTGCTAAAGGACTAGTCATATGCTGTAACTTCATTTGACGTGTTTCAGAAACACATTATCCTAAATTCAGTAAATCATTCTGTTACAAAATATTTGTAATGTCTCCAAATACTAAACGAAGGTTTGAAAATACTTACGAATATGCTTACGAAAAGTATTGAATTTAATATTATCGTGTAGTTTTAAGTATTACAATTTTTCCCTTATGCCATATATTTTGTATGAAATCTATTATCGACGGCTTGATTTGCAGGGAGAAGGTCATATGAACGATGAAATTCCCTTATATTCCTTTTCGCCTTCTTCCTAACACTTTGCAGGCGCGTGATGATGAAATGACTCCAAAATTGAACGATGAGCGAGGATTGAAAGAACTGTCGAATGAAAAGTAGGGAAGGTGGGAGAGATTCCTTGGAATCTGCTGCAAACCCAATTTGCCAGCAAATTTTCCTGAGTAGTTGAGCAACAGGAAAAGTGATGAAAAGTAAGCGTTTTGACGAGGAATTTATTCCTCCTATATCGATAGCATATTACATTGAACACTTTTTGAAGAACAGTTGATATTAATTAAAATATGTCCATGGTGTTTTCTATGATCTTAAGGTATTTTCATGATTTCTAGTCGATAACACCGTTTTTCCTCCCAAAGTGAAAAATGAATTGCTTATAACATTGATGCAATTTTTATACTCTCACGTAACTTACAAACTGTAACATATAACACGCTTGCATGAAACAAAGCTCTAGATTTTCTTGAGCGCTCATGCAAGGAAAACAAGTAGTTGATCAAATAAAATAGAAGAGTAATGATTAGCAACGATGCATAACTCTACTAACCATTTCTATTGAAAATATATTATCATTAAGAGTTATGAAAATCCATAAATATGCATTTATATAATATTTATCATAAATCGATTAATAGGAATATCCAATGTAAAATACGTCAAAATATCGAAAACAAATTTGCTTATTTTAAATAGTCTGAAACATTAGAGATGATAGATAGAAATATTTTATCGGCTCTTCTTTACAACTATGGTTTCTTCATTAAACGACGCCCCTCAAAAATTGCACGTCAAACCAACTGCATCCTGCCCTCCTACACCGTTGCAGCATTGAACCAGCCGGTGCACACTCGCTCGGGATGAACATGAAGCTGCCGCGAAGTGCGACTACTTACTGAATGAATCACTCATCCACTCTGATCAACCAATTCTTATCCTGCTTGAGGAGATCATAACAATCGCTCTGAAAATTCGAGTTCGCATCCTTATGAGTCGCATTTGAAGTAATAAGCTACTAGAACTCACGTGAATTTTATTCGTACGGTAACGTGTATTCTTTATTCGGTTAGCCGAAGAGCGGAACACGTCTTGTAAATAAAGTTGCCTTGAGGGCAGAATAATAATAATAATAATAATAATAATAATAATAATAATAATTAGCTTTCTGTTTTACAGCAGTATTCATACAAATGCCAATCGAACATTATCATATTTTACTTCTAAATAAATATTAAACGTATGGCAATTGCAATAACGGATTATTGTACTTCATTGAATTGTTATAATAATAACAATATAATAATAACAATAATAATAATAGTCACTGACACTAAATAACTCATAACTAATAAAAATAGAAAATTAATTACATACACTAATAACTGTCAGATAAAATGGAGTGGACAAATGTTAACTGAGGAGGAAAGCAATAATTTAGGCGGGGATGGATAAATAAATGACTGGAAAGAAGAGATTTTGCGATCGAAGATGAGACTTTATGGTTAGGAGGCTAAGGAATTTTTGAGATCAGTAAGAAATAAAAAGGACAACTTTAAGAGGAAAATGCAATCTCGTTTCGCGACTTTTGTAAATCTGGCGTCGCCACATTGAGCACGAGCAAAGATTGACGGCGTATTCTACCTTTGGAAAAAGGTATCTCTGGTACCGAAAGAATTTGGGGAGAATTAGCAGAATACTCCAAGGTAGTCACTTTCGTAGTTTCTTCGATCAATACCAGGCGTATGCCGGAGCAGAATTAGCCACAGACCGCGCGCGATCCTGACTCTTCTCCCCTTTTACACACACACTTACATGGACTACACCGCTAACACGACCTGTTCGGAGCTTAGAGTTTGCCCCAGCTATTTCTTTAACCTGATCTATAAGCTGACACGCCCGCAAACTCTATAATTAATCAACTCAGTTAGGCGCCCCCTGCAACAGGGGAAAACCCCGTTGTGCTCCTCTGGAAAAAGACTCGGAACACCACAAATAATTTATTATTTACACGCCGATTATTAAGACGGGACTGCCCGGAGGGGGTGAAATGCTTTAATTAAGAGTGCGCTTTTTACTGACAAAGGACAGAGGAACTGACGGACTAAAGGACTCCTGGATTGAAAGTCTGACGGACAGATGGACCGACGGACAGAGAAACTGACAGGAAGAGAGACTAACGGACAGAGGGACCGACAGACAAATGGTCTGATGAACAGAGATACTGACGGATAGATGGACTGACGGACAGAGGGACCGACGGACAGAGGGACTGACGGACAGGCATATAGGAAAACGGACGGGCAGAGAGGCAGATAGAACGACGGGCAGATAGAAAGATGGACCTACAGATAGAAAGACGTGCTAACAAAGTATTTTGAAAAAACAAAATTTTGGTTTCAGTGCCGTCCCCCTCCCCAGGTTATTTCCGTCAACATCTCGACATCATTTTTTTGAAATTTTACGTTTCATCTCTCTCATACGTAATAGTTATTTAATTTAGCTGAGCACAACACATCTCTGTCGCCTGTGGATTGGTTTATTAAGTAACCTGCCAGATTTACTACGCGGTTTTGTTTTGCTCATATATCTGTAATTGTTATACACATTAATAAATCCTGGAACACTGAGGAGGAGGAGAAAAAGAAGAAGAAAACGGAAGAGGAGAAGAAAAAGGAAAATATGGGGAAGAACTTTTGACACCATTACTGCGAGTTCCGAAATCACGATTGAAACGTGACTTTTCCATTCTTATGGCACGCCTATGAATCCCTGGCAGCTGGTTAGAGAAAGTAGCATACGAACACTACATGCCTCTAATCATTGCTTTAGGCCATCTGTCAAAGCTTCCCGCCCCGCGATGGCGTAGCATGTCTTTTGGGCGCGATTGCTTCTGTCGCGAAGAGCGGCGGCGGCGAGCCCACTGCGAGGGGCGCGGCGGCGGTGGCGGCGGAGGGCGGCGGCGGCGCGTGGCGGCGGTGGGGGGCGGGGGAGTTTAAGTAGCGGCGACGGGCGGCGCCCGCCGGGACGCCAGTCGCGGATGCTGATGGTGAGCATGCAGCATTTCGGGCGCCTGCCGCGCCCCCGCGCACCCGGCGCGCCGCCGCCCGCCGACGGCAGCGCGCCCCGGGCCTCGCGCCCGGCCCCGCCGCGCCGCCCGCGATGCCATCACCCGCACCTCCAGCATGGCCACGTGCCCGGCTCCATGTCACGTACGCTGCAGTACAAGAAAGTGAGTAACGCAGAGATTCGCTTTTGAAATAAAAGATTGTCCGGTGAACTTCGGTCAATCGATTCAGATCTCCTTGGATTCAAGACAATCAGATGTGTGAACAATTACTAAGTTCAAGCTTTGAATAAGGTGTGTGATAATAAATGTATTATACATTATACATTATAATTATACAGTGGTACAATCAAGAAGCGAGCTCATGGGGTTTTAGCACTCTCCAGTTGCCAATGATACATATTCAAAAAATTATTGTTTGCACAAATTTTCTACAGTAGCGAAAGTCATTTAATATTCAATTGTTAAGATTATAAATAATAATCGTAAGGCTATGAGTTGAAATACATTTTATATTCGGCATTAAGTGTAAAAAAAAACATCAAGTCGGCTGGATACTATACCTATAGTCTCCCCCTCCATCCGAGAAAATCCTGAGTTCGCCTTTGATTGTACACTGCATAATATACTGTTATTAAACGTAGTATAATGAAAACAATATTTTGGAATAACATTTTATTCAATATTTTATTTAATGTAATAACTGCCCACTCTTCTGATAGCCCTTAATCCAAAATTCTCAATCAATTTATTAAAATCAGTACTAGTGCTTTATGTAGCAATTTTCGACTGGGGTATTGTCTAGGGAAGTTGTCAGTTCTTGGTACTATTTTTTATGATAAGAACTCACGCAGTAGGTTAAGCAAAGTTTGTATACATGTTTATGACATTGGCTTCAAATATTGTTGGTATCTTGTTTGGTATCTTATGAATGTGTTACTGATATTGTCCATGTGAAGACACATAAATGTAGTGCATATCGTTCCAGAGTTCCACGGTGTTCCCTTTTCAACTAGGTCTTCACTATTATATGTTTGAATTTGAAATGTAAACAAAGTGAGCATCACGGCGGGGGGGGGGCAGTCCCCTCCAATACTTTTGGGAGTATGTGGTGTATAGGATGGGATTCACCAATAATATATTCCTAACGAAATCCCAGTAATCTGATGCTGATGGTGCCCGTAAAACAAAGTATCGTAATGTATTTGTAGTCTTGCATAAAAATACTATGAAAAAACAGTGCGGCTAATTATATATGGTATCGTCATTTCTGTATTCATATTTTTTAGGTGTGCAATTTTTGTATCATCTGACCTTACTCCAAGGTGTGAGGTTGAACTCACCGCTAGGGATGTGGAATTGCCAACAATTTGGCGGCGTGGTAGTTCTAAATTCGGGTTGAGGTACCACACCCCTCAGAGGTGACTAGGTAGATCTCTGGCGAAAACGCCGACGGATATTGCATTCATGAGCGCTATCACTGGATCTACTGCTCCTTCCATTAAGGTTTTCCAATGGGATCGTGACTGAGAGCGATTTTATTAAATACCGCCTGTGGAAATGTGGACTCGATTCGCGGCGTCGCGACGACTTGAATCGCCCACTCCGCAGAGGGAGTGCGCGACGCAGCCTACGCTAATGCGGGGGAGTGGATCGCAAGTGTTTCGTGAATACTCATATCGCACGTGTATTCTTAAAGTGACACAAGCCAAAACCATTCTTTGGTGAAAATTGTGAAAACTATTAACTGGCAGTATCAAAAAACTATTACTTACCGGTTGACATAAAATCATACATTGATAATCCGAATTAGTATATTATATTTATTATATTTATTATTATTATTATTATTATTATTATTATTATTATTATTTTCTTCTACATCACGACTAATATGTTATGAGTCAGCTGAATATAAAATCTACTCCAGGTTGTAACTAAGGAGCAGATCTAAGGACTATCGGTGCCTCTACGATACTTTGCGTAAAATTTGGGCTGTTACAAATAAAGCAATTTGCTTTTGAATTGCCTGGGAGTTTCGCCTAGTTCTTCCATAAATTTTGCGGAACAAATCTCGGAGCGGCAATAACTATCGGGGCGACCTGTGCTTTTACGCCCCACATTCGGCTAATCTCAATTTCCAAACTCTTGTATTTAACGATTTTTTTCTCCATATCCCGAATAACTATTTCTAGTATGTTCGCCGCTATTGTGCTATCAGTTTGAATTCGTAGGTCGCACAATATTGTACACAGTCCAACAAACATCGGTTTTGGTGATGGGGGCATGTGTTTGGAACTTCGACGGCGGTTCAGATCTGCCAGTGGAGGCAAATACACACACTGTTGTGTCCTTTCAAGTATTCGGTGTTTTCTAGAATTGGACAAGCTGAGACGATATGATCTATGGTTTCTACTTGTTCCTGACAAATGAGGCATTTATCATATTGGAAAATTTTGAGAACCACTTTGTCATAATGTATTCTTATCGTCGTACTTGGGCATTGTTATTATTATTATTATTATTATTATTATTATTATTATTATTATTATCATTATCATTATCTTTTATTTTCTCATTTGGTTGGAACATTGAAATGAATTATTGTACAGATTTACAAAATCAAAGCACAATACATCTACTTTTAAAAGAATTCATAGTACATCATTTCCCATTATTATTATTATTATTATTATTATTATTATTATTATTATTATTATTATTATTATTATTATCTTAATATTTGATTAATATTTATAATATAAATGTATAATTAATATTCTACGTCATATAAATTAATATTTATGACGTAAATAATCGATATATTGAATGACTTACGTTAGTATTGAAAATTAATAGAAGTTGATGGTTTGTGAGGTGGGAGGCTGAAGCCCCATGAGCTCTTTACCCCCTGATTTCATCTAGTGTTCAATTTCTTTCTTCAAATGACGGCAAAGATTGTAATTTATTTAAATATTAGAATACTATTATATAAACATAAAAAGTAGGCACTCACATTTTTGAAAATCCGGCACTTTTCAGGACTAGAGGATTCCAACTTGAACTGATGTATTAATACATGTATTATGATTGCGATGAGTGTCCCAGTGTAGACAAGGGCAGGCTTGTGCCCTTGTGCCCCTTCTTTCTACGGAAAGAGATCACTAGGGAACGGAATTTATTGTAATAAAAAGTAAAATATGTTCATATACAATACATGTAATAATTTTTCCAAAATATGTAAAAAAAATAGAAATTACGTAAATTAAAAATGCATATCTCGGACTGAAGGGGTTCGAGTCCCGCCCCGTGCATGGTTGTATTTGGGATCGTCTTTTCGCCCCCTATCATCACCATATCATGTCATCTTCACAGTTATCATAATGTTCAATCCAATAGTGATCACCAATGATCTAGATGTTGATGCGACCTTAAATAACAAAAAAA